GTCTCTCTGTTGATGGGACTGAACAAACAATGGTGGCCCATTCCTCACCGTCTCACTCCAGACAGCCTGAATGATTCCCCACTACGCATCTCTATATCTTCTTGTGACCTCAGCTCACATCCCCTTTCTTATACGTCTGCCATTTAGAGAATGTGACACGAGTGCTAAGGCAAATTCTCTCAGATCCCGCTCCTTTACTCACAGTTGGATTTGTTGTGGGTCAGTTAAAGTTGCGTTAAATGAGATTAAAGAGGGACGTATCTGGAATATGTCTGTTTTATGTCGTAGTGCAGCGAGGGATTCGGCAAAGAGCAGACTTGACTGTGTGGCAATGCCCTGAGCTGGGATTTGTAAGACACCCAGAGCTGGCTTAAGCAGCAGGAAACCCCAAAGCCTGTAAATAATCCACATGTGCAGACTGCACATAAAGACATCCAGTACTTAGCAGTTCCCTTATCACAGCGTGATAGCCCAGGGACGTAAGAGACGCTCCTGCCTCTATCCGCTAATATGGTGTGAAAGTAGATGCAGATAAAAAAACGCCTGTTGTTTATTGAGGAAGTTGCGTTAACGGGGGGAAGAGGGTGTGAACTTTGAACACATTTGAAATGGTGAATATAAAAGAGGACTGGAAATGACAAGGATACCAAATTGCGCCGGCTTTGTTGCTGATAAAAACCTTTGTCATGTGCTGGAGGGTGTTTTCTAATCAAAAGCACCTGGAGGGTTCACTCCCTGTGTGTGTGTGTGTGTGTGTGTGTGTGTGTGTGTGTGTGTGTGTGTGTGTGTGTGTGTGTGTGTGTGTGTGTGTGTGTGTGTGTGTGTGTGTGTGTGTGTGTGTGTGTGTGTGTGTGTGTGTGTGTGTGTGTGTGTGTGTGTGTGTGTGTGTGTGTGTGTGTGTGTGTGTGTGTGTGTGTGTGTGTGTGTGTGTGTGTGTGTGTGTGTGTGTGTGTGTGTGTGTGTGTGTGTGTGTGTGTGTGTGTGTGTTGTACACAGACGGAAACACTGATGGGGGATGTAGGCGTATACATCTGCATTTATGTTCTTATTCCAGTGACAAGCTTGCCTCCCAAACAACCTCAGTTTGGATTATAATAGGGCTGCTGTCTTGTATACTTAAACACCTCCAATGACTGTATCAAGACACACTATATCACAAATCCTGTTAAATACCATAACTCACTCTTAATGCAATACAAAGTATACAATATAATTTGTTAAAGTATGATTACGTCCACGTGACCATATTAACTATAGTACAGTTATTGAGGCAATCTACTGCATCAACATGATTGTATTAGAAGACATTTTGTCTAGTGTTTACGCTTTTTAAGTTTTGTGCGTATCATTTAACGTAGTTCTCACTCCTTACTTAACACATAGGAATGCATTATTGCTGTTTTATACATTTGTTTAAGATTGATAATTCAAACAAACCACTTGGTGAGGTTTAAGGAAATGTTATGGTTTGGGTTTAAACAATTACGCAAATTAAGTTACGTTCACAAAATAAGTTGCCAGCGTTAACCGCCACATATGGAAGCATGGATGAGGTTTTTAACACATGGTTAAAAAACTGGATTTCAAACATCCCTACCTGGTAAGATTAGGGCAACACAACTTCTTGTTTAGGGTTAGGAAAAGGTCATGGTTTGAGTACAAATAAAGATGTTTGTTGTTAAAGTTGCGTTCGTTACTTGTTCCAACAACTGTTGACTGTTGGTTTTTTATGGGACACGAACAGGCTTTGTTTGACCCACCCATACATTGTGTCTATTTATTACATCACGCTACATTCAGAGCACATTGCCCTCATCTTCTTGTGTTGCCATAGCGTGAAATGACAACACAAAAGTGCGTAGCCATAGCACACAAAATGACTATTAGCATGCCATTGGTGCTACCAGCCTGACTGTAGTTATCAATATCAGAACAGAACATTCTTTATTGATCAATTTAATCTGTCACCTAATCTGGATTTTAATGGCACCTAGAGAACATGCTGTCTCACTTTCTCTGTGCTTCAGATGCCTTATCCCTCACATCAGATTTGTTTATCATATCAGTCTGTAGCAGCTCTAACACTTACATATATATCAAGAGTCCAGTACCTTTTGAAAGGGAGATCAGAAGAAGATACATTCTCCAGGAGGAGGAGGAGGGGGAGGGGGAGTGCTCTGAAATAGAGGAGTGGGTGCTGTGTAAACACCGCTGTGACAGTTAACAATAGATTATTTTAGCCTAGCATTAGGCCTCTCAAAGGCATGCCAGCTCTAGTGGCCTTTTTAAAATACAAACATGACGGCAACATTCCTAAATGTGGAGCGTTGAGCTCACAACACAGGTTCTCAGCTCGCTCACCTTTTTTTCTTTCTTGGTACCAACAGCCTTTACTCATCTTGTGTCTTTGTAGAGTTATTGAGACGCCATATGCAGGCATGTGATCGATCACATAATACCTGCCCTAACTTTAATTGGAAGATGAATTCAATGAAGTTGTTGACATGAATCGTAGAAGGCTATCTTTCATACAATTATGCCATGTTCAATTAACTTTCCCATTGTTACCAAAGAAAATATCCAAAGACGGTACACATAGGCGTGAATATTTGTCTTCAGTTAGTTAGTAACATTAAGGAACAAGGAACAAGGATTGCACTCACAAAGGACAGATCCAATAATCCCATTCTCTGTGTTGGAATGTCATTCTTCTGAATTTAGTGTGTTCATTAGTTATCATTTGTGTATCCACCCTGATTCGGATCTGCTCAAAAAATGTACTTGCATGCAACACCCTTCCACCAAATTTAATGAAATTGGGCTACTAGTTATTTTACAATCCTACCTAGAAAAACGTTTTAGCTAGTCATTTTTAAAGTATGATTGTACTCTGTAACATCCCACTTTGTCAACAATGTCACCGTGACCTTATTTACTTATAGTAACCGATCATTGAGCATATATACAGTACAGTATACCGTTTTTTATGAGCTTTGCATCATAGGAAGATTACAGTGAAGAAAGACTTCTTCATCCAATACTGTCTGAACTTCCTATCATATCCTGTTGACTCAACTGTCTTAGTTCCAACACACACACACACACACACACGCACACGCACACACATTTTACTGCATGTGTCATCAGTTACAAGGAAAAGAAAACAGCCACTATGTTTACTCTTCATTGTGCCCGTAATACCACGCCCTGGGTGTTGAGAATTATTTTCTTACGGCTTCTCTTGGTCTCTTGAATTTTCTCATGACTTATCAGCGTTTCACTCTGAGTCATTGAGATTCTCGTTCTCAGTTTATGATGTCGCGGCGGCTTTCAATGAAAAAATAACAACATTCTTAGTAGATTGTCATTTAAAAAAATTACACATCTCCCAAATCATATTATTAATACTAATATTGTTTTTCCTTTTTTAGTATTTTCTTTAGTCAACAACAATACAATGTATTCATAGACCAATATCGTCTCATTCTGTGTTTATTTGTATCATTTATATTTTTGTTTTATTGTGAGTGGAAATGACGTTGAATGTCTTCCCAAGTAAAAGGCTAAATACAAAAAATGAAATAAAGTGAATCCTAATGACGCTCGACAACATCTTTTTGATATTTAAATATGAGATGTTGTGATGATTTATAGGTTTCACTATGTGCCAAAAAAATACCATCATGCTCTATATGACTGTACGACTATTGTCTTTCTCACATCATTTCAATCTGTGCTCTTTCTTTATGAGTGTACTTACATAAGGGTCTTCCCCCCACGCTCAAATTCAAAGCGGAGGCATGAAGAATGAGATACGTTGCTTATACGTGATTTATCTCCACACAACAGCTCAGAAAAAAAGCGAGACAGACAGAGACAGGGATAGTTTAAACACCAAGTTAAGCATGGTGAAATGCCAGGAGTGTGGCCTCTTTGTAGCCTGTGGTCATATGTATGATGTCATCCGACAGCCGTGTGTTTGGGAGGGTCAACACACACACAGACCGTCGTACAGCTGTTGGCTCCAAACCCTAACTGTCTCTCGCCTCCCCGTCTTAAAGTATTGTGAGACTTTTCCCGCACTAAGGCCGACTCTCAGACCTATCTTTATCTTTTCATCCGTCCACAGAGCTTTCCATTTGCCCTTTCCCTGAAGATATCTCACTTTCACACAGGTTTCACTCACTTGTTCACACGTCGCTCTAACTTTTTTTTCGTCTGTTTTCTGCTTATCTTTCTTAAACATTCTGCCATTTACCATTTCTGAACTTCTCATATAATAGACTCGGGGAGCTTGTCTGTCTGCGGGATGAGCTCGGCTGTTTGTTTAATTGCGGGAGCAATCGTCTGAGGAACACGGAAAGAATGAGGCCGGTTATTTACCCAGATGGTTTACTGGTGGAGGTGTGAGGCAGGCCAGCTCACTGTGGGAACACAACGCTTGCTTTTCTTGGTATCGCTGACCGTTTTCTAGACCTACTGTGTTTTTTTCCCCCCGGCTCTCTCCAGCTTTGTTTGCTCTGGATGGCATGTTTGATTATTTATCGTAAGGGAAAAGGGAGTAGCTGGAGCAATAAACATGTGACTGCACTGTATTTTGTTTTCCACTGAGAAGGCCGTGTCCTTTAACAGATATTCAAAGCGGCCGTAAAGCCTTTTATTTGGGGAGTTTGACCGAGCTAAAGGAGGATCAAACGCACTGATAGTGTCTTTGTGTTTACTTGTAAATGCAGATAAATATTTCTTCAGCAGAGGATTTGTTTCCCTCTCTCTGTGAATTAATCTAAGCATTGTTCCTGGTGTGTTTGTGCAGGGACCAGCTCTAACTGAAAAGTCTTAATGTGTGTTTGTTATCTATCAGAAGGCCAAGGGCATATTGTTGTAAGGAGATACATCTGCTCTCTTAATAGGCATCAAAGTGTCCTCAAGGGACTTTTAGCAAATCTACTTCTAGGATTTCTATTTGACTGAATCTTTTTTTATGTATTTCTCTTTATTAGGCTCTCCAAGTGGCTCGGCAGATACTCCTCCAGCAGCATCAACAACAACAGCAACAACAACAGCAACAACAACAACAACTGCACCAAATCTCTGGCCGCAAATCCCCCAAAGCCAACGACAAGCAGCAGAGCCTTCAGGTACCGTCAGACTCGCTCTCATTTATTTACTTGTGATTATCAGATGGCTCTGTTATTCGCCTTTGTGGTTGATCATAAAAAACAAGATGTGAACTCTTGCAACTCTCACTAGAACACCGTGTGCAGGGAAGAAGCACAGCACTGGGCTAAGTTCGCAAACAGGAAATTAAAATTGGCAGTGCAACATTTGCAGTTGTGTATGCTCCAGCGTTATGTGTGATTGAGCTGCACACACACTATCAAAGAATGCGTCATCTCGTTCTTGACTTGAAGCAGCGGTATGTAGGATGAGATGCTGTTGTGAAATATATACTGTAGGCCAGACTGTTAAGCCTCTGTGTGGCCAGATTAGATCACATGATCTCCAGTGCAGTAACACACATCAGCGTGTGTGGTTGATCCTGACTTCTGAAGTGGGAGAGCCTTTTCCTTATTCACTGCAGTTAGACGTAGACGTAGTGGTAATGCATTCTTATATCCATTATGAGGGCTCTCAAATGAGGTGACATTTCTTGTCATGGTGGCAATTGTGTTTTTGCGATGACTTGAAACAGTGCTGGTGTGGACAGGAATCTTTGCAAAGAACAAAACAAGAAAAATCCACATTTCATAAATACCTGTGATTCAGATTCAAGGCTTTTATTGTCATGTGTGCATAGCTACAGTGTAGTTATGACAATGACAATCTTAAGTCACAGGCTCCTCCAACAGTGCGACACAATAAAACAGATAATAGTGCAAGTAAATATAATATCATAGAAATAGTGCAGAATAGTCTATTTACAAGTCATTTGAATATTGATTTATATAAGTTGCAAACAGATGAATGTTATGGATGGATGGAAAAGTTCAGGTGTGTATGAGCGGACTCAGTTTTGGAATTGCACAGCTTGGCTAAAAACTCCAGTCAGAGACGCCATGCTTATCCTGCCTGCCTTTCAGCACTGCTCCATACACATCCCACACAGAAATGAGTGGGGGGCAGGTCTCTACCATCAGCAGCAGGAGGTGCTATGGAGCAGCCCATGGGTGGGGTGGGGGATCCAGGTGCAGGGTTCAGAGGTGAAGTAGTGGGAGGCAAAGTGTGAGAAGTGGGGACAGTTAGAGAAGTGGTAGGACGGATGCCTTTGTGATGCACAAATAAAAACAAGAAAAAAATCATCTGCCTCTGATTGTAATATGAATGGAAATCTGATGCAATATTTACGTTCATTTCAGATCAGCTGCCTCAGACATGTATATCTTTGTTTGAACAAGGAGAGGTTGTTTGTGTCAGTGTGAAATTGCAAACGACTTCAGGGCATATTTGGTAATTAATACGGAGGCCCCGTTCTCTATGTGTGTATATATATAATATTTAATACCCTTACTATCCCTTTGGGGGCCCTTTTTAATGAGCTATTGTAGCAGCTAGGTCTAATGTCAGGTTGTGAAAAAGCCTCTTTGTTGTGCAGATGTCTTCGGAATAGCTCCAGAGGATGAAGTATGACTGTGATGACCTTTCAGTTGTGTGCATATTTGTCAGGATTCAAATAAGTCGAAAGGATCAAAACTAAACTGTTTCCCCAGCCTGCCAGGGAATTGTGCTGCAGAGGTCAACAGAGGGGACTCTCAACGGCAGATTCCAGCGTACAGCCAGTTGTTGGTACATAGTGAAGTACTAGACCATCTCCTGCAGACAAAGACAAAATTAAAATACTAATTTATTAATGTATACAGAGAGCTTGGCCAAGCTGTCACTCAGCTATTGAAAAGAGAGTCGGGCCCTTTCCCTGGCTTCTCCCCCCCCCCCCCCCCCCCCTCTCCCCTCTATCGCTCGGTTCTTGTGAAGAGAGCCCCAGCTTGCTGTAGTATCCGCAAATTGGCTGCTCTCTAATGTTGCACGTTACATTTCGCCATTATGAAAAAGCCACAGGTCCAGACAAGTGTTTGTTTATCTCGGAATTACATATTCTGCTAATTAAACACAACCCCCGCCACATGCACAAAGACAGTTTAAAAAGCCAAGCGTTCATACATAAACATCAGGATGGATTGCATTTGTTTTTTTTCTTCACTTGTGGTGGTGAGATTCCTCTTGTTTTCTCCCTTTCACAAACACATCTCCTTCATCTCACTTCCTCTTTTAAGAACAAACCCTGTGCCTAGAGGAGCCCCCTTCACACAGAACATCCACTATGTGCATCACACGGCCGGGATAATGATTCTCTGTTGAGCCGGACTGGGTCATCAAAAGACATGATCCAACAATTATGGGGCTGTGTAGTAAGACACCCCATAAAAGCACCTGATCTGCGGACGGGGGCTGCATTCATCTCAGCGGTCTTCCCATTAGGCACGAGGAGATGTGCCGAGAGACTTTTACTCATTTGGAGATGTGACTCACTTTCCAATTCATTCTCATTCAAGTCGAAAAATAATGAAGCGCGGTGTGTGTATATACAGGGGAAAAATAGACCTGCATAGAGTGGTAAAAGGAGGGTAAAAATACGAGTCAAACAAGCCTCAGGATCCTTGATCAGCATTAAATGGCTCTTTGGTTTTATTCCTCCAACAGGGGTGCCACCCCCCACACACCGCCCACCCCTGCCTCTGGATGAAGATGCCTCCGCTGTGTACTCGGCAGCCTAGAGGCACTTTAATCAGGCTCGATATACAAACAGCTGCTAGGCAGGCAGGAAAGCAGCTAAACATACTTGACTGGTCAAAAAGCCAGTAAATTACATTGACTGAATGACACGTGTGATTAAAGGAATCCATGCCGCTTTTACCTTTTCTCTGCGCTTCACACCTACAGCGGCACGGCGACGAGAGCCGGCAACTCCCACCCCGCTAATTACCATTATCAGTGAAATGGTAGGGTTTGACTCATTAGTTCCATGTGCATTTAATTAGAGGCAGGCTGAAATTGGATTTAACTTATTACTTTTTCATGGATCACTTTCTTGTCATCACTTCAAATTGGATTGCAGCCCCAGGTAACTAATTATGCCAGCCGCAGGATCAGGAGTGGAGAAATAGGTAATTAGGAACAACACTGTCGGACCCTCGCTGATAGTCCACCAGCACTGAGGTGGGAGAAGGGGGGGGGGGGGGGGGGGGGGGGGATTTGAAGCTTGTTTGAGGCGTTGCGCTCCGAGCCTCGCTGGTTAACTACAACCTCATTGGGAGAGATCCCAGGTAGGTATCCGCCTCCTACAGGGGATTATGTGGCATTCAGCTGGGATGAAGATGTTGTGTCAACATGGTGTCTCTGCTATCAGTGTAAAGCCCAGATTCTGCTTGTTTCCCATCCAGGATTGTGCCTGAGATTGGCCTTCATTATTCATGTCACCAGTACAGTGTGAGGTATGGCGTGCAGCCAGCTGAAGTTCCCTGTGTGGACACTGCTTGAATGACATTGACTGCTTTCTGACTGTAGTGCGTCTGCGCTGATTGTAATGAGAACACATGAACCGCCAGCTCCAGAGCTGATAGTCTAGAGAAGGGTAGGAAAATGATAACGTCACTTATTGAGAGCTTCGTTTCATCTTAAAGAAGTTTATTTTGAATCAATCTGAACCTAAAAGAGCATCTCTATCCTTTGGGTATCATTGTTTTTTATACTTATTGTAATAAAGTGATGGTCTTTTGTTCTGAAATGAGAATACATGAATGGCCCGATCCAGAGCTGATGAGGGAAGGGTAGGAAAAGGATTACGTCCCTTACTATTGAGAGTTTTGTTTCATCTTAAAGTGTCTTTTGTAGGAATCTGAACCTAAAAGAACATCTGTATACTTTGGGTTTCATTGTTTTTTATATTTGTTATAATAAAGTGATGGCCTTTTCTTTTGAAATAAGACACACTGTTCACTATTTTCTGATAAAAGTAGCATTGAACATTTCCATGATGTCAAAGGTGCATCACTTGCTATTCTTCAGACACAGAGAATCGACTGATAATGCTTCAAAACATTTCCAGCAGACAATTCTCTTATCTGTACTATTACCAGTTGAAGCCACAATCCACACTTTTTCTTCTGCTGCTTTCCTTTTTTTTCCTCCTCTCCCTTGCTCTCTTTCTCTCTGTTTTCACACCACAGTGTACAGCCTCACAGAGGGCATCTCCAGGTCAAAAGATAATGTCTTTTCAGTTTACAGGATGAAAGCCTTTTAAGTTGTAGAGCGCCCCTCCTCCCCACGTTTGCTCTTCACATCCTTCATTTGTGGTCTGTTGGGGGGAAGCGTGATGTGACACAATCCAGGGGCCAAGCCTCTGTCTGACAGGACGGGGAGAAGCCGCCGGCTCTCTCTCTTTCTCTCTCTCTCCCTCTCCTACTGTTTTTGCAGCAGGCCCATGGCATTGTCCTGACACATGTATACCACAGCGCTCCAATCTGTAAGTCATTAGAGCACTAGGCCGAAGCCTGTCAGCTGGAGCTCAGCCAGCGCTGCGGGGCGATCTGAGGCAGCATTTCCAGGAGCTCCCAAAGTCCAGCCGGCAAGTGGCCCAAAGTGGCAAGGCAGCGGTAGCCCACTGGCGAAGTGACAGTGAATTAATCTTCTGCGTTAGCTTCAGTGAGATCAAGATTCTCTTTTACACAAGGGAGACCCCACCAAGACAAAAGGAGTGTATTTGTTTTCGGGTACATTTTGGAGATTAAAAGACAAAAGGGCTGAGAGACAGAATGATTCTCATTGCCAACTTCTGATTGGTTCACTTGCCAACTATTTTAAGATTTCTAATATTAACCAGCTATCAGAGTTAGCAAGATATATTTGACAGGTTACTGTACGTGTTGGTAGTGTTCATAGTTTGTACCTTCTTTTAAATGGTTTGGGCTAACTTTAAGAAAGTGTTTGACATTTTGGAGAATATGCTGAATGACTTTTTAGCCAAGAGCTTGCCAAAACTCATGTCTCTAAAATGTCTAAAACAAATACAATTTCAAGCAGTCAGTTAGCTTAGCTTTGTGTTGTTAAAACCGTTAGTACCAGTGTACCAAGCGTACCATCTATG